GACAAAACTTCCGCTGGCGCTGACAACACGGCATCCAGCCCTACGAATGCCGGTGACGACTACACCGCTGATAATTTGGACCAGCAGATTACGGAATTAAGGAAGAAGCGCGAAATATTGGAGCTGCAACGTCAATTAAATGAGCTGAAAACTACGATTGCCAAACCAAGTGCTTGTAGAGCTTCATTCGCAGACATTGAGCACGCAGTTCCAAAATTTAGTGGTGATAGTACCGCACAATCAGTTCAACACTTCTTCGACGATTTCGAGGAAATAATGCGTACGGTTAATGCGGACGATCAATTTAAATTGTTAAGCTTACGTCGCTCATTACATGGAACAGCGAGAGTGTTTTTAACGACGACATCTGCACTCAACTATCATGATTTGAGGAAGGCAGTTATAGATGAGTTCGCCAGTGCAGTTACTCGCCACGACGTCTACAGAATGTTGAGCGAAAGGAAGTGGAAGCCCAAGAAGAATCACTGCACTGTTACATATTGACTATGCAGGCTCTGGCGAAACGTGGATGTGTCCAGGAAACTGACGTCATGGACTTGATCTTTGATGGGATCGGGAATAAAATAAACAATATAAATTTACTTATGCCAGCACAATCACTGGACGAGCTGAAGAGGCTTGTGAATCGCTACTATTCCAAATACCTCAAGCCAAATTTTGGTACTGTTCGACGTATGATGCCTGCCGCTGCCGCAAAGCAACCTGCCGTTCCCGTCAAGCCGTCAGCCTCTGATAAGCTTACTGCCGAGTCTGGAGGAAACAGCCAGCCACTATGCTTTAACTGCTCCAAGAGGGGCCACATAAAGCCAAACTGCCCGTATCCGATGCGTCCGAATGGGTCCTGCTTTCGGTGCTGGAAAATGGGTCACGACCATCATTCATGCACCAATCCACGGAAAATTTTGAAGCCGATTGCCGACCAACCAGTTGCTGCCGTTTACGAAAACGACCTCACCGAGCTGGAATCGTTCAATTTTGTAAGTATTACTTTTGAGACCAATCGACAAGAGAGTGCGAAATTTAATAAATTCATTTCCCTTTTTGATACCGGTAGTCCAACTAGCTTTATGAAGCAATCGTGTGTGCCAAATAATTGCCAAATTTTACGAGAGCCACAACATATTTACCGCAGCATTGGTGGATTAAAACTAAAAATATTGGGTCAAGTCCTTTGTTCTGTGAAATTTAAAAATGAAGTAAAAAATATCAAAATAAATATATTGCCAGAAAATGAAATGTTAGTACCTGTTATTTTTGGACGAGATTTTTTGAAGCAGTTTAACATACGCTTAGCTAAAATAAAACGTAAATATACGAGAGACAATTTATTGATATATAAGAACACTCTTTGCACTCCCTTGTCGAATGACCTGGTCGAAATCTTAAACAAGTTTAGCCTCTTAAAAGCTTATGCGCCACCTAATAACATTGAATCCGGGGACATGATCGGTACGAGTGGGAATGTTGGTCCCAGCGGGCGGGTATCCGTCGAATTGCCGGACATATTCAATATTGAAATCGATAGCCAAAACGAAGAGTTGGATATAGACTTTGCGCTAAATCGTAATCAGCGTGCCGAATTAAGTAGATTAGTGTTCGATTCGTATATAAATCCGAAAGATCTTAGGGTAGAGCCAGTAGAATACGAAATGAAGATTCACTTAACAACTGATGTGCCGTTTTATTGTGCGCCTAGACGTTTATCATTTGCCGATCGTACTGTAGTCCAGGATATTGTAAGAAATTTAGAAAGGGATGGGATTATACGGGCGAGTAATTCTCCTTACGCTTCAGCAATAGTACTTGTAAGGAAGAAGAGTGGCCAGAAGCGCTTATGTGTTGATTATAGGGGTCTGAATAAAATAACCGTACGAGATAACTACCCTCTGCCACTCATAGAGGATTGTATAGAATATCTCGAGGGTAAGAATATTTTTTCTGTTTTAGACCTAAAAAATGGGTTCCACCAAGTTAGTATGTCACCGGAGTCCATTCCATACACTGCGTTCGTGACACCGAATGAACAGTATGAATATCTTAAAATGCCGTTCGGACTTAAAAATGCCCCGGCTGTTTTTTCAGCGTTTCATAAACGACATATGTATTTAGAGATTTAGTGGACGCAAGGAAAATTATCATCTACATGGATGATATATTAATTGCCACTGCAACTCTCGAAGAGCATAAAACTTTATTGATGACATTATTGAAGCGTATTAGTAGACGAGGTTTAAAACTAAATTTATCAAAGTGCAAATTTGGGTATACTCAGATAGAGTACCTGGGATACTCTGTATCCCCAGT